AAACTGAATAAAAGCTGAATAGATCTGTTGTGATGAAAACCTGAGGAACACTTGAGTGCGTTTGATGTCAGATTTCAAAGGAAATAGCACGAGGCGTTGGGGAGATTAGTCATGGGAAAGGTGTTGCTGCTGTCACAGGACTTAATTGAGCCACCAGGAGATGAAAAGAATTTGAAGGGAGCCTCAGATTTTAGGCGGTTCATGACTAATTATCCCAGATTTTTCTTCCTGGCAATGAAAGGAGCAATTGTCGTCATATTTTGAGGAGAATCTCTGACAGTCGCGGCCCTGAAGACACGGTGATTTTAAGGGTTCTTTGTAGTGAATTGTACCTGCTGTCTATCAGAGATACCTCATCACACGGCGCTGCTTTCTAAGAACTGAATGTGACGAGCTTCAGGTTACATCAGGTAAAATAATCGCAGCGAGCAGTGGAGCCTGTCCCAGCATTCATAGCTGTGACACACCTGGACAGGTTATCCATGTGCCGCAGGGCGAACACAGAGGCAGGCGCTCAGTCACACCCTGTTAGCTGCATTTCATTACAAAATAAAAGAAACACTTTGACTCTTCCTTCTGTCTGGTCTTATTATCCTCGCCCAGCTTTTCCTCCTTCCTGTATAACTGCACTGTAATTATACACTTTGTTTTCCCAACCTATGCTATTTAAAACATCCTCAGCCGTCTCTGGATTACTCGAGTAAGGACGTCTTTTCCTGCTGCAGCAGTTTGTTCAATAATCCTCTGACCTGAAATTAAATGCAGTGTTTCATTTGACAGAAACTCGGTTTTGTTTTGGCACCAACAGCACATCAAACACAGACGGAGGCAGTTTTATTGACAGCCGGCTGTGACACTGATAAATATGTTAAGCCAACTGCAGGCGACTACTGTTGTGGTCCAAAGACAGAAATAGACTCGAGCTGCAGGAGAAATATCAGCGAAACTCTGCGAAGAAGCCTCATCGCCAGCCTGCAGATACAGCCCGTCTTTATCCAGATGTGTACAGATGTTGATCTCTATGAACATGCCAGGTCAGAGATGAAGATCTGGACCAGCTGACTAACAGCAGGCCAAGAAAACTAGCATTGGATTAACGGGGAAGAGTACAGTCCAAGATCCAAGTCATGGTCGGAGTACCGAGGCAAGAAAAACACGAACAAAAAGCCGAGACCAAAGCTGAAGATCTCCACTTTATTTATGCAGCAATAAATTACAACAACTGTTGGAGCCAAGTCCAGGCCAATATTTTACTCAATTACATCATACCATATTTAAGTATTTGTCATGATCTTTAAGGTGTGGGTAAAAAAGGTTAGGTAAGCAAGCAGGACGTGGAGCAACAGTTTTCTGACCGTCGCCGTTTTAATGTTATTTTTTGTTGTAACATAAAGGGAATGTAAACGGAGCTCCCACCAGAGGCATTTGTTTTGTACCTTTCGATTTGTATGGAAAATAAATGTTTTCCATACAAATTTGTTTTTTCCTTCGCCTCGTTTTTGCTACCGGAAGGCTTCCAAGAGCACAAGTCAGAAACTTTACGCCCTGCAGAAACGGCAAAGAAGGACCGAAGGTTGCCGCTACAACAACGGTCACCCCAAGGTGCTTTATATTAGAAGTCAGTACAATAATATAGATGAAACCCAACAATTATATGACCCCGAGCACTTTGGCGACAGTGACAAGAAAAAACTTTGTTTTAACAGGAAGAAAGCTGCGGCAGGAAGGCGGGGGGGCATCTGAGAGACCGGCTACAGGTGCAGTGAGCTACGAGATACATACAAGTCAGGACACATCAAACACGTGAGCAGTGATGCAGCAGTCGTGAGCAGAATATCCCAAATTAAACACAGCAAACAAACCAAAGTGAAGACCAGAGTGAGTTAAATATCAGGTTAAAACCAGGCTGAACTTCAAGTGTTGACGAGGGACAAAGTCTTGCTGATGAAAAGAAGACACGAAAAACTGGATGTCACTGAAAGCAGAGATACTCCTCAGAGTGACAGGAAGTCGTGGAAGCCTTTCCACAGGTGTCTGTCTCCACAGGAATGACGAGGCCAAGTCTCAGCCAGGTGCTGCGAATGAAACGCACCCGATTGGCTGATCATCATCAGTGTGAGCACATCTGTAGAGCTGAGGTTTCTGATGTTTGCAGGTCTGGAGCGTTCAGGTGTGTTAACAGCGACGCAGTCTTCCCAGGAGTGGACGTCCCAGCAAATTCAGCCTGAGTAAAAACCCAGGAGCTTCATCTCAGTCAAAGGTTAAAGGTTAAACGTAGCAGCACAGTTAGAAACAGACTGAGCAAGTATGGAAAGTCTGTCCATGAAGCACGAAACCAAACTCAGCTGTGAGCGCGGCGCTGGAGGGATGGTGGTTTGGGTACCTCGGGGTCACTGGACCGTGAGCTCCTTCATCAAGCTGCGTCTCAACAGTGTTGGACCTCAGCGACACAAACAAACACCTGCGTGGACGGATTCCTGCTGCTGCGTTCATCATCAGCTCCGCTGTGCTCGAGGGAGTTATTGTCTAAAACTGCAGAAAAGGATGAGTGCATCTGTTTCAGCGCAGAGCTAACAGTCAGGAGGCGAGCGTGTTAAAGGAAACCCTTTTCTTCTATTTGACACATCGTGGTCCTGACAGCAGCTCCACGCCGCTGCAGGAGCTGACAGCAGGTGTTTAATGAGGACTGTGTGTGTCTGACACATGAAAAAGAGGGAAGCCCGGGTTCATAGAAAGCACAAAGAAAAGGTGTCGCAGCAGGACGCCGACACACATGGATGAAAGCAGGAAGTTTAACGACCACAGTCCTGTAAGGGGGTGTGGACATAACGGGGGGGAAATGACACGGCCAGAACGACCCGAGAGTGAAAAGGTAGCTCGCTAACAACACGCACAGCCTGCAGGTTGCATGAACAGCAGGGGGAAGTCAAACAGCTTCTTGGGCCTCGAGCCAGAATATTTCATCAGTGAGCCCCTGAGGGAAGATCTCCACCTGCTGCAGCAGCGAGACAGGTGAGACGCCCGAACGCAGCTCAGACTGCAGACGAGGCCTCAGCGAGTTACCCGTGAGAACAAACCGCAGTCACATCAGGCCCGATGTGTTTGCTTTAGAGCAGCTTTGCTTTCAGATTAAACAGATCTCTGAGTCAGGCTCACGTTTGTGCAACTTTCATTTAGTTTGTGTGAAGGAAGCTCGAGGAGGAATACTGAGCTGCAGACGAGCTAAACGAGTCCAAGAAAACAGTTCAGAGATCTGCTGTAAATAAGGCTCGGCCCACACGCAGACAGCCGTCACGTTTACATCTCTGTGCACATGAGAAGGCAAAAAATGACTTCCTGTGCTGTCGAGAGCATGTCGAACCAGCAGGTGGCGATATAGCCGTAGCGTAGGGTGTGGCTGCAGAGGGAGAGAGGCGGTGCCGCACAGCTGGGGCTGTTTCTGCAGGGGTGCGCTGGGACTGGGCGGAGCTACGACTGAAAAGTAAAAGAAGAAACACGTTGTGCGTGTGCTACGAAAACCGGCCAATGAAAGGCTCACAAACAGGAACGCAGCCAAAAACAGAAGTGAAGGTGCACGCCAGAAACCACGTTAGGATCGTGCATCAGGCTGGAAACGTGTTTATTTCTGCTGCAACATTTAACATAGGAGTCTGCTGGAGCCCCTAGTGGACGTCAGATGAACTGCAGGTGCCGGCTTCATTGTTTTATCTGCAGGCTGAATAAAAACCACATCGATAAATGCAAAGTCCCTCTGAATTCAACATGCACTGTTATTATATTTAGAATGATGACGTCA